GTAAGATAGCAGAAACTTTAACCGTGATGACAATGATGTTATTATAAAAGATGTTAATTCAGCAATGTATGCTTCTGATCAATCAAGAGAGATATTCTTTTGTCAGTTAGATCGCGTTCAGATGGGCGGGTCAAGGCGACGTGCGAGAACAAGAGTGCAACATTGTTACAGGATGACATGATCGTACGTCTCATGCATTCTGGTATCATTACCACACCAGATGAACTTACTGCTCCCGTTGTTCACAAGTCATGCAGTTCAGCAGTTCATTTGCTACCCTTTTTTGGAAGGCTATACTGAGGTAACGTTGGGTAAATTTCTTGCTAAAAGGGATTCGCTGTTAAGACGAAGACTGCATCTTCTCCGGGTGCCAACGGGTATATCCGGAATTCGCCGCCGACTTCTATGTCCGTACCGCTGTCCCTTATTCAAAATGAGTCGTATAGCCTAGCTGCCTTTCTCTCGATAGATCATAACTCGAGCAGTGTGCTCTACACATTGCCATGTTCATTAGTAGTTCACTAAAACCTTAAAAACGAGTTAAGTTAATTCCAAGAACCACTGAACCTTGAACCTACTATTTGGTATAACATGCTGTGATCCTGATATCCAATTTCTTGATATTAGTACCAGCAATCTGTTTCAGTCTTAAGCGGATTTCAGCTTTACCTTTTAAACGGCAAGACAAAACAGGCCATTTTTTCAACGAAAACAAAAAGCAACAAAGAGAAGCATATAAAATGCAAATTCCAAAACCGAGAATTTACAACAAATTGAAATAAACATTTTAACTTATTATAAAGAACCAAAACTTACGTAGTTTCCATGATGACAAATGGGGGCCTCCAGTCAGGCTTCGCTCCGGCTGGTAACATGCTCATTTCAACCAGCGAATTCTGGTTGAAAACAAATCCTAAATGCCGTGAATATAAGATAACGACAGACAGAAAAGCATATGGCATGGAACAAGCAAAACAGAACAACGAAACATGAACAGCAATGGTTCAACTGTTCATCAAAATTTTTATAATATCAGCGGTACGCCGTAAAACTAGCTGCCTAAACAACGCGATAGGTTCGAATCAGCCGGATTTAATCTTTACTCTTTCGGAGCTCGACGAACCAGAATCGGCATAACAGAAGGCAGAAGATTAAATACTAATGGGTAATGGGACTCCATACTCCATACATATGGGCGCAAACATTACGTAGTAGTGTACTCTTAATCTGATAAACTCTAAAAAAACCAGAGCTTCATCATATCCAATAAGAGAAGGGTAAACAAGGGCAACCATCAGTGAAAGACGAAAAGGACAAACATCGCAAATATGATGAACTTTTCTCAAATCCAGATATGTAAAAGCATACGCATATACTGCCGCCGCATTACCATAATTATGATCATAACTTCACCATTTTCATTAAGTATATCAAACAGAACTACATAATATAAACAAACAATAATATTTGGCATTATATAATATCACCAGACAACAAAAGGGACAAAGAAGAAAGATACTGATCAAACCTACTGATCAAAAAGAATAAGTAGAGATGGAACAAAAAACAAATGACGGAGTAGATATGTTTGCCAAACGTTCATTTGGAATTTTCAGCAGGCATCCTGAAAGCCAGAAAATGTTAAGAAAGAGTTATTAATACGCCTCTACAAAGAATACAGAAGATATGCATCAAGAAAAACGATTTTTTGTAAGAACTAGGTCATGTCAGGCTAGCCTTGTAAAAAAAACAACGGCTACTCGCTGAAGATTTGGAAAACCTATCTAGATCATTCATTTCTCATTGCCTACCCCCATAATCATATGCTTATAAACTGAGCGAACAGTTAGACTTATTGGATCTAAAGCCTGCCCAAACACTATATTCAAACTCGATAGTGCTTCGCTTGATTTCAGCTACCTGAAGAATAAAAGACTGGAGGAGCAGAAATGACATTACATGTAACAGCTCCCATGCTCGTGCAGTACAGTGTAAATCGGTGAAAAGGTCAACACCCTCGAAAAAAGAAACACCGTTCACAAAACAAACCTTATCAGATGGAGGAACTATGATACCAGAGA